GATGGCCGAGCAGTTCGGCGCAGTGACGGCCAACGAGATAGCCGATGGCGAGTTCGAGACAGTAAAACATGCTGGTGAGGACATGAAACTGGTGAAGTTCGAGGGCGGCAAGGGTGGCAGACACAAGGGGGGCCGAGTGTGAGCAGTTGGCAGAGGTGATGTGCCGAGCAAGCCTGTTCAGAAGCTGGCTTTTCTCTTAAAACAGAATGGAGCCAGTGTTGAACGTGCTGCCTTCGCAGGCATTCTGGCTCAGGGAAGCCGGGCCGCTGCTCGGGGCGAGCAGGAAAAAGGTGTTTGCGATATCCTGCGGCTGCTGCCGACGCCCGCCGATCAGCAGGGGAGGAGGATGGGAGGAGGAGGCATAGTTTCAGCTTTTGCTTGGGAAGCTTTCGGGCCCCAGGATGCTATCCATCACCTGCGCCTCGTCGAAAGGCTCCCGGGGAACCCGGAACCGTCCCGGACGGCCGCCTGCGGCATGAGTTTTGGCCCGAAGCCGAAGGGCAAGGGAGGAGAGAGGGGAAGGATGGGGGAATGGGGAAAGGAGGGGAGGGGAGGGTGAGGAGGGAGGAGGTCCTTCCCAGCTTTCGTTCCATAAGGCCCCGTTTTGTGTTCCCGTGGCCTTCAAGAAACGACGCAGGATGAAAAGCCAGTCCCGGGGATGGGGTGGGGATGTCTGGGGAAGAGGGGTAGGTTTGGGGCATGTGGATTAAGGTCTTCAGTTTAGGATCTTAGTTTGGGTCTTAGGGTTACGGCCTTAGGTTTACGGTAGTGGGGCTATGGTCTCGGGTCCAGGGTCTTTTGCTTAGGGCGCCCGGGTCATGGTCTTAGGGTTCGGGTTTCCGAGTTTGGGCACTCGGGTTGGGGACTTAGGGTGCGGGTCTGAATAGGTTGAGGGTCCTCCTCAATAGGTTTAGGGTCGTCAGGTTATGGCATCAGGTTTAGGGTATTGGGGTTACGGTCTTAAGGTTAGGGCATCAGGGTTAGGTCCAGGGATAGGGTCTCAGGCTTCGGGTCTCAGGGGTAGGCCATTAGGGTTACTTATGGATACGGTATGAAGGTTGGGATATTTGGGTTAGGGCGTCTTCGGGTTAGTGCCTTCGGGTTAGGGCCTTCGGGTTAAGGCATTCGGGCTACGGTCGTAAGGTTCGGGTATCAGGCTTAGGGTCTTAGAGCTTGGGCAGTAGAATTGGAGTTTGAGGGTCACGATAATAGGGTTCGTATATCAGGGGTTCGTGTCGTAGGTTTAGGGAATTTCGCGCGAGGGTCTGAGGATTAGGGTCTTAGGGTTAGATGTTAGGATTCGGGTCTGAGGGGCTTAAGGCTAGGGATTACGGTCTTAGGGTTAGGGTGTTAAGATTAGGGTCTGAGGGACTAAGTGCCAGGGTTCAACTAGGGTGAGGGGGGGCTTTACGGCGTCAGGATTAGGGTCTTAGGGTTAAGTGTCAGGTCTTCAGGGTAGGGCATTCGGATCTTAGGGTTAAGACATTCGAGTACCGATGTAGGTTCTTAGGGCTCGGGTTTCCAGGTTCGGCGCTAGGGGTCGGGCATTCGGGTACGGACATTCGGGTTAGGGTCTTAAGTTTGGGGTATTGGGGTTCGGGTCAAAGGGATCGGGTCTTCGGGTTAAGGTCTTAAGGTAAGGGTCTCAATATTCGGGTACTAGGGGTGGGTCTTCGGGGTAGGGTATGAAGGATAGCGTCTTAAGGTTAGGGCCTTGGGATTCGAATTTTAGGGTTCGGAATTCGGGTTTGGGTAGCAGGGTTTGGGTACTAGGGCTCGTGTCGCAGGGTCAGTGCATACGGTTTAGGGTTGTACGGTGAAGGTCTAAGAGTTCTGGCAATGGGGGTAGCTTATTACGGATAGGGCCTTCGGTTTAGGTTTCCAAGCTCGGGCATTCGGGTTAGGGTCCTCGGTTGAGGGTCCCAAGGTTAGGGTATCAGGGTTTGGGTCTTACGCTTAGGGTCGTAAGGTTAGGACAGTCGGTTTGAGGGTCTTCGGGTTAGGGCATTAGCGCTAGGGTCTCAGGGTTAGGGTCTTAGAGTTCGGCTCTTAAGGCTAGGACCATAAGGTTCGGGTCTTGGGGTTAGGGTCTTAGGGTTATGGTTTTCGGGTCAGGGTATTTGGGTTGGGGCATCGGGGTTAGGGTCTTAGGGTTTGGCAACTGGGGTTGGGACATTAGGTTTAGAATATTAGGGATAAGGCGTTAGGGTAGGACCGTATCGTCAGGGTATCAGGGGTAGAGTCTTAGGCCTAGGGTCTTCGGGTTAGGGTCTTCAAGTTACGGTCCGAAGGGTTTGGGTCCCAAGGTTCGGTCAATACGGTTTGGATCTCAGGGTTATGAAATGCAGGTTCAGGTTTTGAGGTTTGGGCATTGGGGTTATGGTCTTGGGGTCTTAGGCTCATGGCGTCTGGGAAAGGGTCCTAAGGTTAGGGTCTTAGGTTGGGTCTTAGAGTTGGGGTGGTAGGGTTAAGGTTTAGGGTATCCAGGACTGGTCTCCAAGTTGGGGTGGTAGGGTTAAGATCGTATAGTTAGCCTCTCCAAGGTGGGGTCTTAGGTCTGGGGCATGTGAGTTAAAGTCTTCGGGTTAGGGTCTTAAGACTAGGGTCTTTGGGTTACGGTCTTAGGCTCCCGCATCTTGTCGGCTCTTGCGAGTCGACGCGAATCGACGCTACATACGCTGTATCGACGCTACATCGACGCCACATCGGCGCTACATCGCCGCTGACGCGGCGCCATCTCACCGACTCCAGAGGCGCTCTCATCGGCGCGAGTCGACGCCAGAGACGGAATTGCGAGGATAGACCAGGCTCCTTTGAACTTTGGCGGCGCGCACAAGGAGGTAGGGGGAGGGGGGAGGGCTTCTTAGAAGGAGGCTGCTTCTCAGAAGGCGCCGGCCTTACATCTATAGATGAGGCCCGCGCCTTCTAAGAAGCAGGGGTGCTTCCAAGAAGCCCTCCCCCCTCCCCCATTCCCCCTCTGCGCGTGGTTGAGGTCTGCTGCCGAAAGAGGAGGGGGTGCGGGCTCCTCTGGAGGTCCAGCTCCCTCTCCCGCGCCTGGGCGGCCGCGGCCGCGGCTCCGCCTCGGGCGTCGGCGGGCGGCGGGGCGACTTTCCCCCTCGGTAGGCAGGGGTCGTCTCACACTGGCCAGCCTCCATCTGAGGGTGCGAGGACACCCACCCTCTGAGGAAAATCCTGAAGGCCTGGCGCGGCAACCTGAGACCCGATCTACATCGGATCCACGTCGGATTTGCGTCGGGTTCACGTCTGACTACGTCGAAATTGCATCGGATTTGCGTCGGACTGACGCTGGAGCATCGCCGCGCCGCGAGCGTCGACCCATAGCTTACGGAGCTGACGGGTGACTAGAAAATGCAACTATTACGCGCCGCGCGAGGCCTCCAGGACTTTCCTCATAACCCATCATCGGGACCCGTAGGGTGCTACCTGTCTGACGAACGGTCGACGAATGCCTGTAGAACTCCTCCTCTGCTAACGCCCTTCCTGCCCCCCTGCCCCGCACCGAACGCACATTTTTCCTGGCGCGCTGCTTTTGGTATGCCGCCGGACATACCGAAGAAAATCGAGTGCGAAGATGAGCGGCAGAGGCAGCACTTTCAGAGGAGAGTGGTGAGGAGTGAGGCAGGGCGGAAAAATGAGGAACCGCACCTGCAGGGGAGGATGCAAGGGCGGGCGCGTGGCAGAGGAGGGCGCGACCCCCGACGATACACGCGCCAAGCGTCCGCGATCTTCCCATAAGCGCCCGATTCGGCTGAACACACACACACACTCACACACTCACACTCACACTCACACTCACACTCACACACACACACACAAATACATACAAATACACCTGCCGCGTGGCATCGCGAAGCGCGCACATCAGCCCTGCGGCGGCTCAACAGGCGCCGTCATGCAGAATACATGCTGCGCATGTCGTGGCTGCCTGCTTGGCGCTCTGCGCGATCCCATGTTTCAGATTGCCGAAATGGTGGGCAACACTGATCCGCCACCGTGCCGCCGGACACGCAGTGGGCGTGCACTCGGGTCCTGGGCCCGCCCAATCCTCTTAGGCCTCCAGCCTCACTCCGGCGGAGTCTTGCCCGCAGTTCCGACCTCTCGTGAGGCTTCCCGCGTCCCCCCTGGGCTTTGCCCTGTGGTGGCGCGTTACTTGTCGCGGGCCCAAGGGGGGCCCCAAGACGGGCCAAGAGGGCCCCAAGCGGCCCCCAAGACGGCCCAAGGGGGCTAGACGGCTCTAAGGGGGCTCACGAGAGGGAGCACGAACCGAAAATCCGAGCCTTTCGCCCAAAGAGGCCCCCAGGAGTCCCCGAGAGGCGCCCGGGAGTCGTCAAGAAACCCCCACGAACCAAGCCATCCCCAAGGGACCCCAAAAAGCCCCCCAAAGGCCCCAACGATGCCCCAAAGAGGCCGCCAAACTGTCTCCAAGAGGCCCCCGAGAGGCCGCCCACGAGATCCCAACGAACATCAAATAGGATTCATACCCATAACACAGGCACGGTGGCGGGATGGGCTGAAGGCCATTCGACACATGCGGTAACACGACGGTTGCAATTCAGCACGCCCGCTTGAACAACAAGGTGGCGGACTATTTCTGCGAGCCACCCACTTGCCCCACACCACCGATGAGCCTGGCCTGATGTACGCCATGCGTGCGCATTGAGCCTGTCCGCATACTGGCACAGAAGAAGGCCTCCTTATGGCCATGGCCTCAATGCACACTATTGCCCCGGCAACGTTTGGCTTCTGACGTTTGTCGGTCCTGGAGACCGTGACGGCAATCCTCGCCTGCGCAAGGACAGCACATGCCCGAGGACTTCTGGTTGCAAACTCTTGTTAAGATTACGGCGGTGTCTTCGTTCATTGGCCCTGCTCCGAGGTTGATCCCGCTGACTGGTTACCACATGGGACGATTTGGTGAGCAGATGCTAGCAAAGCGCCTTGAATGTTCTTGACCTTCTTGAAGATGCTTGTCCGAAATATTATCCATGATCGCCCACGGAGCCAAGCTCCTGAATGTGTTCAGCGTAGCCTCGCCACCGCCCAATACTGCTGTTGTAGAGCGGCGCGCGCGTCTGACAGAACGAACATGTCTTTATGACCTTGACGTGTCTCCATTGCTCTCCTTCCATCACATAGTCATCCCAAGATAAGCCCACATACTCAATCAACCTGCGGCGCTCTGCGTCATCGGTCACGAGGGCCTCGTAGCGTATGTCCAACACTTCGATCTGCAGGACGTCTTGCCAGTGAGCCATCAAAGCAGAGTAAGCGCTGATGAAGCGAACGATGTCACCAAAGGTGTGGGAGAATCGCACAGACTGGAAATCTTGGAAGAACATAGAAACTGCTGCGTCTCGAAGGTCTCGGCGCACATGGACGATGCGTGCATCCGGAAAAACCAGACGTATGAGCCCGACGTACGCGAAATCAAACACGTTTTTATTTACGATCAGGCTCTCTGTTCCGAAAGGTACCTTCAGGAAGTCGCAGAAGTACTTCCGCGCCTGCATAATACCATCACTTGTCAAGTGGGGCAGGTAATCCAAAGCGATGAAAGTGGGATCGCCCTTCTTCGCTGGCGTTCCCAAGTAGGCACTCCGCAGCGCACCATCAAGCTCTTCCATGACTGGTGATTCGCCCAGCGCTTGTACGTTCGGAAACGCTGAAAGCATCTGGTGAACCAGGCTAGTGCCCGACCGAGGCAGACCCAGGATAAAGACAGGAGGTCTGATCGACGGCTCTGCAGAAAGAGACATCAGGTGTGAGAAGGTATGGCGGCTGTAGTGCTGGAGCATGCTCTGCACAACGAGGAACACCGGATCGGAATCGAAGTCATAGCCACTGGCCCGCTTCATACTGTGGGCTTTCCTCAAATGCGCCACCGCATCAGAGAAGTACCCCCGGAGATCGTACAGGCGCGCCAGCGCAAAGTGGGCCTTGTGGCCCGGCGCGCCGAGGGTGATGGGCCTGTTTTCCACCACCACCACCACCATACGTTGGAGGGGGGAAGGAGGAGGATGAGGAGGAGGACGAAGAGGAAGAGGAGGAGTAGGAGTAGGAGGAGGAGGATGAGGAGGAGGAGGAGGAGGAGGAAGGGGAGGAGGAGGAGGAGGAGGAGGAGAGAGGAGGAGGAGGAGAAGGAGGAAGGGAGGAGGAGGAGGGGGAGGAGAGGAGGAGGGGGAGGAGGAGGAGGAGGAGGAGGAGGAGGAGGAGGAGGAGGAGGAGGAGGAGGGGGAGGGGGGAGGAGGAGGAGAGGAGGAGGAGGAGGAGGAGGAGGAGGAGGAGAGGAGGGGGAGGAGGAGGGAGGACCCCCTCGCCCTCCAAGTTATGGTGAAGGTGGTGGAAAACAGGCCCATCAGAGGGACGACAGCCTGCGGACGCAATCTGCCGCGAAGCCGATCGGCGCCTCCAGGCTTGCAGAGTGCCCCAGCCGCTGCAGGTACTCCGCCACCCGGGAGTACTTGTCCGCATGGTCGGCACACGCTCGGGTGTTGCTAGAAGTGCCCCTGGCCCAAGGTGCCCCCAGCTTTCCGCTCCGCTCTGGAGCCCCCGGGGCCCTCTGGGCTGGGGGGCGCCCTGGAGGCCGTCTGGGTTACCCTGAGAATCCTGGGGGTGCCTTGGGCCAGGGGTACTTCCAGCAACACCCGACACGCTGCGCCAGCCCCGCCCCGCTGCAAGCGCCGGAACGCCCGCGATTCGGCGGAGGGGCACTCGAGACACCGGCGGCTCTCCCGCCCGCCCGGCCCAGCTCCGCCCCGAAAATCCGTCCCGAGGGGGGCCCTGGGCCCCTCCCGAGGAGGAGAAGGAGGAGGAGGAGGAGGAGGAGGAGGAGGAGGGGATCCAGCCGCGGCGACGAGAAGCTTCCCGAGACGCGATCGCATCGCAAAAAAAATCAGGACAAAAGGCTTGTGACCATTTTCGGCCTCGGGGGGCCCTCGCCGGTCCTCGGGGCCGTCAAAGAACGACTCCTCGCCATCGCTCGGACGTCCATTCCCCGTGATTTTTTCGATTTCGTGCGTGGCTTTTTCCCCAAATGGTCAAGGATGCTCCTCGATGCTCCTCGCCGACGGAAAGATGCACACGTCCGAGCGATGCCAAGACTCAGGATGAAAAACCGGTCTCTGGGAAGGGGTCGGGACTTCCAGGGGCCCCGCAGGGACCATGGGAAAAACCAGGACGTCGCGTGTCTGGGTCCGAAGGCCCGGAAGGGGTAAAAACCACGCCAGGGGGGGTCCTGACCCCCGACGTCATGATTTTTTTTCGTTGCGTCGACCCCTGGAGGTCTCGACCCATTCCCCTGGACCGGTTTTTCGTCCTCAGTCGTTTTTTGACGGTCCCGAGGCCCGGCGAGGGCCCTCCGAGGCCGAAAATAGCGAAAAACATCCCGTCATATGAGTTTTGTTCTTGCCCGAGGGGGTCTGGGGGGTGGGGCCGCCGCCGCCTCGACTGGCCGACCTCCGAGCGATGCAGCGCGTGCCCGGCCGTGGTCGATGAATGCGGCCCACGCGGCCTCCACCAGCGCCGCCTGGCCGCCCTCCGCCAGCAGGGCGGCGGCGGCGAAGTCGTGCACGCCGCGCAGGAGCCGGCGCTGCAGGCGTGCGCCCTCCAGGAAGGGGCTGGGCTAGAAGAGGGAACAAAACCCACAAAGATCAACTTTGGGCGCTCCGCGCGGATTTCTTGCATCCGCGCTCCGCGCGCCAGGGGCGGCGCCGGAGGCGCCGCCGGGGGGGGCCCAGCGCGGATCCCAGAACTCCGCGCGGAGCGCAAACAGTTGATGTTCATGGCGTTGGTTCTCCTTCGATGGGCACCTGGCCCGCCTGCGCGAGCGGCTCGATCAGGGCCAGGGCGGCCTCGGCGTCCTCGAGGGCGGCCAGCAGGCTCGCCAAGGCCCTGGCGACGGAGCCCCCATGGCACGCGAGGAGCCTACTGGCGGCTCCGTCCGGCCAGCGCCCGCCTGGCGGCGCGGCCGCCAGACCGTCCAGCTCGGCCTTGATGGTTCAATTCTCCTCCACCACTACCATAGGTAGAACGGGGGAGAAGGGAGGATGGGGAGGTCCTCCTCCTCCTCCTCCTCCTCCTCCTCCTCCTCCTCCTCCTCCTCCGCCTCCGCCTCCGCCTCCGCCTCCGCCTCCGCCTCCTCCTCCTCCTCCTCCTCCTCCTCCTTCTCCTCTCCTCCGCCTCCTCCTCCTCCTCCTCCTCCTCCTCCTCCTCCTCCTCCTCCTCATCTTTCTCCTCCTCTTCCTCCTCCTCCTCATCTTCCTCCTCCTCCTCCTCCTCCTCCTCCTCCTCTTTGCCCTCCCTCTCCTACCTATGGTAGTGGTGCTGGAAGATCGACCCATCAGGCCTGGTCCGGCCGGGTGTCCAGTTCGCTGCAGCCCGCCGGGGCGCTCGCGACAGCGAGCGGCGCGCCCCTCCTGCTGCCTGCGGCGGTGGCGTCGCCAAGAGCCCACAGCTCCAGGTTGGACCTCCGACCCCACACCGCCAGCAGCGGCGCAGCGCCTGCGGGCACGTCCTCGGTGGTCACCAGCTGCACGTGCTGCTCCCCGCCAGGGGCTGCGCCGGGAGGGCCCAGCCGCAAGGACACGCTGGCGAGGCTGTCCTTCCAGGCCCGAGCCACCAGCTCCAGCCCAGGCACCGCCAGGGGCGGGCCCGGGAGGCCCCTGGCGGTGCTGCGCCTGGCCAGGGCGCCGAGCGCGTCGAGGTCCTGGCTGGAGAGGCCGAGCCCGCCAGAGAGCCCAGCGAGGCCCGGATGGTACGCCGCGGCCCGCAGGGCCAGCCCTGACCGTTCGGAGCCCGCGCCCAACAACAGCCTGGCCGCCTCCCGCACCTCCGGGGGCGCCGCGCCCGGCAGCTGGGCGCCGCGGCCGCGGGCGCGCGGGGGCCGCAGCCAGTAGTGCCAGCGCGAGCGGCGGCCGAGGCGCCGCTCGCGCAGCACCGCCAGGCACAGCCGCAGCTCCTCGGCCTCGGCGCCGCCGCCGCCGAGGCCGGCGGCCCCCAGCGCCGCCGAGACCTCGGCGGCGGGCTCGCGCAAGGGCCGCACGGCCTCCCGCAGGGGCACAGACAGCAGCACCGTGCCCTTCCGCTTGGCTCGCCGCACGCGCAGGTGCGGCGCCGCCGGCACGCCCACGTCGGCGCCCACGTCGGCGCCGAGCGGCCGCGCGCGCCGGTGCGGCGCCGCCGGCACCTCCACGTCCACGTCGGCGTCCACGTCGGCGCCGCGCGTGCGGAGGGCCTCGAGCAGCCTGCGGGCGTCCAGCGCGGCGGCCCCCGCGCCTGCGCCTGCGCCTGCCGCTGGGGCACCGCAGGCGCGCAGGCTCGGCACGGCGAGCAGGAGGGCGCGGACGAGCAGCGCGCGGGCCAGCATGACTGGGAGGGCTCGAGCCGCCACCTGGTGGGCTGGCCCTGCGGGGAGGGATGGCCGTCGAAGGAGCGGCCGCCGCTCGTCGGCTTCCCTGCTAGGGGCGACAGGAGGCGGGCAGTTGAGAGGCTCGTGTTCGGGACCTGTTTTCGGCATCTTGTTTCGCGGAGCCCCCGAAGCAAGTTGTTACCTGCTTCTTTGGGACTCCACGCAGAAAACATGCACGACGTGTTCTACATGAGCGCTAGAGAGGGCTAGAGAGGGCAAGAGCCAGACCGTTTTGTAATGCACCTGCTCAAGTCACAACCGGTGACATATTATCACCTTTGTTGCCAGTCAAGGGGTCATGTAGCACTGGTGCCAGTCAAGAGGTCAATATAGCATTGGCGTCAGGACCTAGCATTCCACTGCGTTGAGCGTGGTGGCGAAGGTAGTCGGCTCCCTGCATACTGGCTTTCTCCTCGCCGCAGGACGAACAGCTTCATCCACGGCTGCGGCCCCCCACGAGATTTGCACCAATCGGTCTTCAGAGGTGACTTGCAGTATTGATTATTTCAAGGAATACAAGCACATACACAGAAGTTGAATCAGACAGTCTCCTTCTACAAAGTTGGGTTGCAAGGATGTTGACCCCACCTCAGACCAACCCCCTCTCTCCCAAGCAATATTCGACAAATATTCCACCAAACTGGCGACGCCGAGGTTACCCCATCTGTGAAAATCGAGAAGCTCCGGAAATGCGGAGTCGCCAGAACACAATTGGAGCAGGAACAGACTGGTGCAGCAATCATGAGCAAGACTTGAAGGCCCGGCACAGAGAGCAGCTCAAGACTGACGCGTGGCACAAGTCGATCAAGCAGGATATGCTGCGAATCGTCGAGGCGTAGACACGGTCAACTTACCATGACAAGCAGCGACTCTTGACCCGAACGGTACACGGCGTTCGAGTTGTATGGCCGTCTCCTCGCCGCAAGACGCACAGCTTCATCCACGGCTTCGGCACCTAAAGGCAAAAGATGCGGCACTGGCGAAGGACATGAAGATAAAATCGAGAACGACGAGGCTGTCAGGACAATCGAGGCCACCATGGTCCCACTGCGACCGCGGAAAAGAAAGATATCGCGGCAAGAAAAAATACAGAACCAAAGGGAATGGCTACGATCGACGACGGCAAAACATCGATAAAGGAACATATCACAACAGAGAAGCATGCGGAAGATACACTACTCTACTGGCGCAGTCATGAGCAAGAAGAACCCATTCATCAGACATTGGTACCTGACATGTCGACAACATCGGAGAAATACCAAGAGATAGAACAGATTGTGACGAGAACTCTTCTGGCAACAGGATCATGTCAGTCCGCGCCCACAACGGCGGCAATGGAGAAGGTAACCCCGAGAAAAGGAACGACATATGACGATGTCTTCAGCGACGGAGGACAAGCTACAACTGGGCAGGGATAGCCTCGGCATTTACCTTTATTAGGCACGACAGTTATTGAGATGGGAGCTTCGAGCTCGAGATGTTCAACATCAACAACTTCAACAACACATCCTGCGGCTACTCTACCGCCATCCTCTGAAGCAGAGCGAAGCCATCGCACCAACCGACGACGCCGAATTCCGACGACGCAACAACAACTGGGCGATGCTACCCCGGCCAGACGAATCCCAATGTCAAGAAGAACCAGGTTAGTTCACGGTTTGCTAGCTTCGAGCAATCTCTTGAAAAACTCGTCGGCGATCAACGGCGTCATGGTTATCGGCCTTATCGTGTATCCTGGAGCGGCCCGAGAATGTGTCGGAAACGCTACTCTTTGCAAGATATTCGACAACAGACTCCGACCACGAGAACTGATGAAGAATGTGTTGTGGCACCGCTCGAATTTAAGGACATCTCATCGCAACCTCAATACAACAATGGACTCTGTGTCTTTCCGGTCTGCCCCGTTGGAATGAGGAGCGCATATGTACTTCCCGTGCGACGAGATCGCTGGCAGGTCTGCACGCTGCCCTGGACTCATCGGTCCGCCGCGGGCCCTTCTTGGGCCCCGGAGGATTCGCGCGACGAGATTCCAGAAACCCCGGGGGACACGCGGCAGGGCCAAGAAAGCTTGGCCATTTGGGGCCCGGGCCCCTTCAGAGTCTTCCACCCAGAGGACAGGCCTGCAGAAGGCGCCGGGGGGCGCGCCCTTTCCGTGCCCGAAGAGACGGGGGCGGATGCGGCTGTCGAGCTGAGAAGATGGCCTCCAAGACGCTGCAGAGGCCTCCCAAGAGGGCCCCACCAGGTGCAAGTCATTGATTTCCATGCGGATTTTGGTGGATTTGGACGTTATCGCCTTGTCGGCTTCCCGACGCTCCGAGACGGCCCAAGACGCCTTCAGGCTCGCCCCAGGATGGCCACTGAGGCCCCCAAGAGGGCCCTAAGACGGCCCAAGAGTGCCCAGGACGGCCCAGGAGGCGGACAAGATGGCCCGAGAGAGCCCGAAGACAGCTCCAAGAGGGGGCCCAGATGGGGAACCCGAGCGGACATTTCGAGTCCTCGGGACCGAGGGCCCCCCGGAGGCCCCAAGAGGCCCTCAAGAGGCCCCCGAGAGGCTCCAAGCGGCCTCCAAGAGGCCCCAAGAGGTCCCCCCAAGGCCCCCAAGAGGCCCCCAAAACTGGCTCACGAGGCCCTCAGAGTGCCCCGAAGAGACGCAAAGAAGCATCCCTGATTAATCTGACCCACAACACAGGCTCGGTGGCGGGTTGGGCCGAAGGCCATTCGACATCTTGCGGGCACCTCCAGAACCAAGACGGACTTCCGGGACCGAGGCTTAGAGATGTACTCACAACGGTCTATCTTGACATGACATATGAATCGCATGACGTACTTCCCACGGGCAACTTCGATAGGTCGAAGAACGACACGTATAACAAAACAACACAACAATATCAACAACAGCTCCACCAAGGATCACGGCAACAAGGACAACATTAACAACGCGTCACTCTGATAACCATGATGGAAGGCAACAGTCAGACACCTCATGCAGAACAAACTCGGGGCGCATGTTCGTTGAGTCCTGGGCGCGACGCTAATCCGCTCACTCGTACATTCTCATCCACTACGAACCAGTACTGCAGAGTTTGACTTCACATGCATTTTCTCACTGTGGGATGGCGAACATGCTTTTCTTATTCAACTACATCCTGAAGATTGGGCGGTGGCCAGCTTGGAGTTCTAAGCTATTACAGAGCTGCTCTATGCGACATATCCCTGGCTAGCGCTCATTACCCCAAAGAACTGCAACGAGTTCAAATCAACTGGGGCAAGATGGTGCGTTCACGACTTCCTACAATGTGGAACTGGTGCTCAGGACCCTCACGCCCCTCCTCACGCATGGCATGTCTACTGTTTCAACAGATTGCGCTTTTTTCAGCTGATCTGCGCGACGGGCGGGGCCTCCAGCGACGACCCCATCAACTTCAGTTGGCGCGAGCAGACAGAAGCTTCAGGCCGAAGGTCACCGCGATGGGGTCCAGATGCAGGTAGTGGAGAACCATGGGCACACAATGACATGCACAAGATACTTTGGAACGACTCCAGGCGGAACTACCAACGCTTAGAGGTCACACGCGCGATGAA